ACCGCATGCCTGCGGGCCATCACACAGACAGCAGTAATGCACACACGCACGCACGAACACGCACACACACACACACACACACACACACACACACACACACACACACACACACACACACACACACAAACACACACGTGCGTGAATGTGAACGTACGCACGCAAACACATACACACACATGCGTATGCACACACATGCACAGACAGACAGACAGACACACACACACACACACACACACACACACACACACACACACACACACACACACACAAATACAGAGATACAGAGACATAAGAGTATGCAACACCACTCAATCAAGGTACAGGTGAAATCCTGATAATTCGAACCTCAAAATGCCAGGAAAAAACTTCTAATTATCCGGACATTCTAATTATCCAAACATGAACCCACAACTCAATATGTATGTCAAAATGCTCTCATGGTCACGCAGAGTTGCGCTATGGACCATAGACACAAATTTTACGGACACTGAACTGACCGGCACAGCCTGCTCATGCAAACTGAACTGACCAGTACAGTGTACAGTGAACTTCGAATTACACTTTGCTAACTTCGAATTATCAGCACAAATCCCACACATGTTCTATGTAAGTGGAATCTGTGGGACTTCTAATTAACCGAACATGTCCAGTTCGAGGTTCGAATTATCAGAACATTTTATGTGGGAATCGTATTGATAGAAATCGGTCCTGGAAAAACTTCTAATTAAGCGGTATGTTCGAATTAAGCTATATTCGAATTATCAGGATTCCACCTGTATTACGAAACAAGGACAGGCTGCATCTGAGCAAAGTTTAGTGCAGAAACACAGGCAACTGTGGGCAAGTATCCTCGCTTCAACTGAAGAAAGAGCGAGAAAATGCTGCTCAACGGTCATGCACAATAGAGGCTATGGGATCACATCATCAGTTGAGATGCCTTGGTAAAGTCGTGGACTCGCAGCACAGCGCTGCACTTGCACCAGCAAATCATGCTGCATACTCGGCGCCCCATCAGAAACTCCGCTATCATGAAAATTAATCATTCGCACACCCTCTGTCTCTCTCTGTCTCTGTCTGTCTGTCTGTCTCTCTCTCTCTCTCTACACAATTATCAAACAACAGCTGGTACTGCCAAAGAAGACTTCACTGGGATTGGTTGGGCCAGTCGCGGGGAGTTCCCCTACGCCGGGCACCTGAGAGGATACAGTCAACCTGGCGAAAAATAACAACCTTGGACAAAACAGAACAACTCGCGAAAAACAACACTTTTCTCATGGCCAATCGAGGGTCGTTATTCGCAAGGCCGGCTGGCGATGCAGATGCAAGTACACATATTGGCCCAGAGATTGGCTTATGCTAGAATCAGAGGTTCAAGATCGCACTCGCTTAAAGCGCATTGCTATTGGAATCATCAAGTGAGGACAGGACCTACCAGCCATCGATCATTGGGGTCCACTGCCACAGCTGATACCCAATTATTGCGACTCTGCGACAAACAAACAAACAAGCAGACAGACACGCATACACAAATGTGCACATGCACACGAACACATTCACAGGCAAGCATGTACACACACACACACACACACACACACACACACACACACACACACACACACACACACACACACACACACACACACACACACGCACGCACGCACCACACACACACACACACACACACACACACACACACACACACACACACATACACACACAGCGCGCGGGGTCACGGTCCATTGGGATAAGACTTGAGAGAAAAGCCAAACATCAACCAGCAATGCACCACCATCCACAGATCCATTTCTAAAAAGGTTACACAGTTTAACCTCTTTAGCATGACGCTACCTGAACGCGCCCCACGTCAACACCTGTAAAAGTCGCATTTTCCCATGAAAGCACTAGCTGCTCAAGGATAGATAACTTTACATTCCCTTGGACGAATTCCATGATCTTGAGCTTCCTGGAAAGGTCCCGAGATGAGGGACACACTGGTGTCAAACCCAGCTCGGAGCGAAACCAAAACCCCGCGCTACAGTCTGGCAAACTTCATCCACGCGCTCGACAGACTTGAGCACGACCAAGACTAACCGAGCTCAAATATTCAGCTGCCATTTCGGTCTCCTTGCTCGTATCGAGCTCAAATTTTTGTGAGGACCCACGGGATCCACTAACATCATTTTAATCTTGTTTCTATGGCAGCAGGTAGCGCAAAAATGATCCATGGTGGAAATACGCGTTATGCAGACTGCGCAACAAAAATCGAGTTGAAATTTGCCGTGTCGAGTCGCATATCTCAACAACCGGTAGTGTATCGCTTCGGCGATTGTTTCTATCGCCAGCTGAGAGTTTTCTCTTGCAGATACATGTTTCGATTGTGAGAATCGACCAAGTATTGAGTGAGTTACGATAGTTTGAACAAGTCACTATGGACTCAACACGGACCCCACGACTATGAGATGCAGGTTCACTGTACAGTGTACAGCGCGCATCGTACTAGTACGACGGCCGTGGGGCATGCAACTCATGTGCGTCGTACTAGCACGACGCTCGCGCTAAAGGGGTTACAGTAAGATCGGGCGCCGAAGAACGCAGGGGCTCGAGCGCAGCCTAGGAAAGTTCTTAAATTTTTGATTCTAGCCAGACCGTTCTTATTCACACGCGCGCGGCGAGTCGAGTGACGCCATGACGTTTGTCATGTACATGTAGTACTTCTAAACTAGTGGGTGTCGTAAATGGGAATGACTGTACATGTAGCAGTTACTGTTTACACGTGTACATGACATGTACTCACCTCCCAGACATGTACAATGTTCCAAATTTTAAAAGTGTTCTTAAATCTGATAATTCTAGCCTGGACTGTTCTTAAATTTTGCCGGTTTTCCAGCCTGGGTGTTCTTCGGCGCCCGATCTTACTGTAATACGTCATCAGTTGAGATGCCTTTTGTATGAAATAGCTAAACTATGGCAACACGACTAACATTACATAAGCTGGTGACTTGAGGAATCGAGCATGGGCGACTCCTGGTGGGACTAACATGGCGCCGTTTTCGTTCAACCGGCCCAAATTTCTCGAGCACAGTAACCCTTAGAACGTGAAGAATAAAGTCAAGAAGTTTTCTTTGTTTTCGGAGGAAGTATAGTACATGTATACTAGTACTTGAACGGGAACCCTGTAAACTCATACCGTGGTTATCCGGACCCGGAAGTCAAAGGTACTTCGGTCTACCGGGCACCATTCGGGTGAGTTTCAGTGGAGATATTACGACTTTTTTAGGGACTGTTTGTGGAAATAGTGACGTCATACGCCATATCTATGGCCTTTCCCCATCAAAATGCACGTGATTCGGAGTTTAAGGATATTTCAAAGTTAGCAGACAGTGCCCGGTTCCGGACCGCCCGGATAACCGAGGCACAAGTGTAGTTCCTTCTCTACGCAGAATGCTCTATGTCTATGGTGGCGGAGTGCGGACTTCACAACAGTACGGAGAGCAAGATAATAGCCATGCATTAGAATGTATTCAACCCAGTAAAGGAAGCACAACGACATAGGGTAACCACGGCTAAGAACAACAACACCACGGACACACTGAAATAGGCCCACGGCGCCTTGCCAAATATGGAGGTGAGTGAGCTGAGGTCAGGAATACAGTGTAGTAGTAGTATTCATTATTTTAATAGGGGAACCCAACAGACGGTGTCGTCTTATTACAGGGAGCCCTATGAATGATTGACACAATTGAACAACCTCTGAGCGAATACACTGTTCAACACTCCACACACGGCCATGCCCGGGTGGCTGCGTGGGGTTTTGGCGGTGCAAACTATGGCATTTAATTAAGAAATGATTTAATAGGCCCTGCTCACCTGTGACGAGGAGGATGCTAGCGACGGGTTTGGCACGGTGGGAGTGATGCTGTGACAGCAGGCACTGCTGCGTGAATCTGGACCAACATCAGCAAGAGAACGGCACACAACAACCGCGCACAGAAACCAACAGTAAGCGCCAGACGGACGGGAAGACTGCAAATCACATCGATAGACGTAACGGTGAAAGAAGCGCACGAGGCATGCATACGGTCCCACAAAAAATGTGACGGACAAACATGAAAACAGAGCGTCACATCGACGGATGGTGGCGAGATAATAGCGCACGACGTACGCATTGAAGTGCCACATGATTTAAGTCAACGCTTGTGTCATAAAAAATTAAAAAATCACTGTTTGCGTCAGACTCGGCTAAAGGCCAAGTTTCCCGCATCCGTAGGAACCCACCGCCGTTCAAGGATCAAGGCGCAGATGCAGGTCCTTAAGCGGTGGGAGGTGAGTAGATCAGCTCACCAGCAAGTGGTCAAAGACCGAAAATCCCATTCACTGCATCCATGTTCTCCTCATGCTTGTGCCATAGCCCGAGCGCAAACAAGGACTCCTACTCACCCCAGAGTTTGACAGTGCCATCATCAGAACCGGAGAAACACTGCTCTGATGTGCGCGGTCGTGAAACCACACACAGTGCCTGCTTGCTATGGCCGTCAAACTTCCTCTGAAGTGAACACACAGAGGCACATGCATGCGTGTAGGTTGCGTTCAGTTGGGCATTTCCAGAATGAGTAAGTGCCACCCATTCTGGAATGGGAATGTGTGAGAATCACCTGACCAAACAAACGCACCTGAATCAACTAGGCATCCCGTGACCAAGTAACTGAGAGAGAGAGAGAGAGAGAGAGAGAGAGAGAGAGAGAGAGAGAGAGAGAGAGAGAGAGAGAGAGAGAGAGAGAGAGAGAGAGAGAGAGAGAGAGAGAGAGAGAGAGAGAGAGAGAGAGAGAGAGAGAGAGAGAGAGAGAGAGAGGGAGAGAGAAGGAGGGGAGGAAGGGAGGGAGGGAGGGAGAGAGAGAGAGAGAGAGAGAGAGAGAGAGAGAGAGAGAGAGAGAGAGAGAGAGAGAGAGAGAGAGAGAGAGAGAGAGAGAGAGAGAGAGAGGTCAAAACAACGGACACCAGTGACTCACGGT